TCTTTTAACCATGTGAACTATACCTCAGGATTTGATATAAGGGAGGAGGTAAAGCAGTCCTCTAATCCTCATAAAGAAATTGGCCAAACTTCATGTTCCTTTTATTTCAGAAAAGACTGGATTCCTGCCAATAAGTTTGACATATATTTCTTTCCTTAGGACAACATACATATTTTATAGGCTAGAGTGCAGCAATAACTGAACCAAAATTGTGTATGTAGAAGTATGAAAGTGATTCCTAGATTTCACTTCGTGGATTACCAAAAAATCATTACTTTGCTAAGCAGAGATCAGACAGTTCTAGTTCAGATTATAAATGAAAGTTTTTCTGATATTGTTTAGAATTTTTCACACATGGGTGAGCCTATGGTTGAGCTTTTATTGTTCCTCAAGAGAATTCTCCTTGTGTCCCAACTAGTCCCTAATGCCACATGTGTATATATAAAGTGGGGTGTGCATTCTGAGCACCACTGAGATAGCAAAAGATGGATAAACTCATGGGATGCTCAGTTGGACCATTATTGAAAAGTCATAGAATAGAACTAGCTTTAGATTATTAAAAGGTAATCACTCCCCAGATCTGTCTATCTTGTTTAAAGTATCTTGTATCAAAAATACAAAATGTTTTACATTTGATGATGCATTGGAATATTTTCTTCATAATTAGAAATATTGACCAGTACCCCAGCTCCATTTTCTCCTATTTAAAATTAGCATACTATAAAATAGAATAAATGTAAAGTTCAATAATAGAATATGTGATTATCTTTGGTGTTTATTGTTGCATAAAAGTATTAAGGTTTTGTATTTTACTAGTTCAAAGTACATGTTCATGTTTGAGTTTTATCAAGAATCTTTTATTCTGAAGTCAAGGAAATAGTGCAGATTATAGAAAACATATACACTCATCATTATTTAAGTATTAACAATAAAAAGCTAAAAAGTCATTTATTTGTTCTTCATCTAATATCTTAAGTTTATTAATGAAAAGTGACAAAGTATTTAGGTATTACTCTGTAGATTGTGTTACTATTGATAACCAATCTGCAGAACTCTAAAACAAACTTTTAAAAAACTAAATACAATTCTAAAACAAATTTTTAAAAAACTTTTTCAGTGATTTTGCACAGCCTTCCTTATGTGACTAGGATTCCATGAAGAAATATGGAGGGAAAGTTCACATGCATAAACAATGATTTCTTACTCATATAATTTCTTGGACTACATTTGTACAATAATTGACTTAAATAATTCTTTCATGAACAAGTAGTCTTAGCATAAAGGGTCATAGATCATTATATTTTGTGTCTGTATGTGGGCTATTGCCTGTATTATAAATTGCATGTATTAGAAGCTTTGATATTCTGAGTTCTAAACAAAGTTCACATGCTGAGATGACTTTGCCAAGGAAACTGATAGGTAGTTTATAGAAAGATATTTTTCTCTGAGACCTAGCTTAAGTAAAGGCTTTTGCGACTTCTTGTATTTTGTGCTTGTATAGAGTTTGTGGGAGATGGCACTCTAACTGTTTAAAGGATGCTTGGTTTTATTTCTTTTTTGATCAAATAAGTTTTTTATTATCATCATTTTTAGTTGTTCTTTTTTTTTCTCACTTTTTAGAGATGAGTTCAGAGCATAGAAACAAAAATTTTTACATTTTCCTTCACGTTTTTTCTCTAGTCAAGCTATTCTTGTAAGGAAATGCAAGTAATGAACTGAAGTTGCTAAAAATGTGCTTTATTTCCTTAGTGATGGGAAAACTGAAATCTAGTTTTGGAAAAGCCAAAATCTGGATTTTTTTGGTAAGTAAGAATATCTAGGAATTAATTGTATTATAATATATACCTGGAGTTCCTAGGAAAAGTAACAAAAATCAAAATACATGACTAGGTTCAATCTTTTGTTTATCAAATCGATGAACAGTGAGGCCAATCAATGCACTGCAAATTAGTTATAATTGAAATAGTACAGTCGATTTTTGTTTTTCAGCCTGGAAACACTCTTGCCAACATAGTAGATCTGGGTGAAATGTATTGATATGGCCTGAATGAAGGTTACTGAAATATGTGCTATTACTTATCATTGCTTGAGATACCATACCCTGGAAGTCTGCTTAGTTTGAAAGTAGACATTGTTTTATATTAAGAAAATAAGAAAATGCTGCCATTTGAAAGACAAATTTTTACTAAGAAGCGCAAAAGAATATAATAAAACTAGCTGCTGGATCTAAAAGTCTGCAAAAAATAATACTTTAGTAGAAGCTTTGATATTTATGAATTTACCCTCACCAATATCTAATTAATTATAAGCTTTATTTCATCATTTTCCCATATTCTAGCCAAAAGCATAAGAAACTATCAATGTAAATGTTTATTTTAATGTGTGAAATTCATATTAGAAGACTTTGGGTTTGAAGTGAAAAAAACAAGAGTTTCAACAGCTGGATTTCAAAGACCATGCAAATTTGAGCTATGTAGGCCACTGAAGTGGGAATGAAAGACTTATTGCCTTTGGGCAGCTCATTGGGAGCCCCTGCCTAGCTATTCACTTGCTATACAAAGCCATTTATCTTGTATTGAGTTGCCTGCAAACATGCAGACACTTCTGCCCCATTGCACAGCCCACCTAATGCTTTATTCAGCTGATTTGATTTATTTGTACTCTGCCTATTTCTCCCAGTGCTCTGATGTGAACTTAATACAAATTCAATAACCAAGGCAAAATCTAGCAACCAAGCTGGGTTTAATGAAGGCAAAGACTTACAAGGAAAGCATAGAAAGATAAATTATATTTCATGCTACAAAGATCCTATCAGCAGTGGGCAGTGAGGTTTTCAAAGGAGTTCTACAAGCACAGATATTGTTGACTCTGAAACTTTTGTTAGAAAACACAGTTATGTTCCCGCACTGAGCAACACCCAAAGTAGACCATTGGAGAAAAAGGAGTCATTTTTAAGGTAGTTGTGTGATGGCGCCTGTATGTTGTAAGTCTTTAATATTAATTTATAATCATTGCTGAATTTCTTACCCAAAGGATTATGGAGGTTTTAAGGGAAAGTGATATATTAAAAAATGATGGTATTCTAATTTACTAAAAATATAAGCAATAAATTTTGAAAATTCTCAGTGTGAATGCCTTTGAAAAATTTGTGTACCTTGGATGAACCGAGCAAATGCTTGAGATGAAAATTAAATATTAAAATATCTTAGGTTTAATTTTAGAGTGATTAAGAACATAGGCAGGAGGTTAGGGAATTTTATAGCATAGGAAAACAGATAAAATGATAAAAGATTAAATGTTTTTGTACTGACAACAAATAATCAAGTTCTTTAAGGGTGACTTCAGAGCACAGAAAATTTTGTTTCAAAAACAAAAACATGAAAAATACCAACAAAGTAGAAAATGAAGGTAGAAAAATGGAACCCTAAGTTCACAAAATACATTACATGAAAGTGAAAGTTTAATTTTTATATTTGCAAAGACAAAATACAGAATTCTTCAAGATAAACTTCTAAGAGTATGGCAAATTAAGAATGCAAATTATTAATTGATCTACAACACTATTGATGTTATAAAGAGTTAGCTGCAATTTTCTATAGCAGGCATATTTTCATATCAGTGCAGTTCATAATTTCTCCTTTGATATGGAAACATATCTGTATCCTATACTTCAGGCCATGTGACATTTGTGAAAGTCTTGCTCACAGCTGAATGGACCATGGATTGCATTTGGTTCAAGCTAGAAGGATAAGATACTTCCTCCATGGAATTTTGGAGTCAAGACTATTTTAGGTGTGACCTTGGGAACTCTGGGTTACCCAAGTTCTGCTTGCTGTGAGGACCGCAGTCTGTAGTCTGCAGAGAGGACAATACAGAGTTCAGTGCAAATCAGATTTAGGAAGCATAATGAGAACTCTACAACCTTCCAACTACTTTTGGAGAACTAGAGATATCGTTGTTGGATTCTACATAATAGTTCTATGTCCTTATAGAAAATTTCATTTTTCTAGTCTATGTATTCTATTTTTCTTTTGACATTAAGTGTTGCATCTTGAGTTGGCTTCTGTTACTTGTGGTTATAAATTTGTATACAGGAGACTCATTATATTTAAAATACTGTTTAATTCAGAAAATATCTCATTTTGATCCAGTAGAGTATCTTTAAAAGTGATTCTAGTATTGTTTATTTCTTTATGATTCAAATTCCTATTATCTGATTTTTCTTCTTGCTCTATGTTTTGAAACTCTTACTTGACCTTTCTCCTGCAATCTCCCACCTCTCCATCCAACAAGCAGATGAGAAAAGTAAAATGTCAAATTCAAACCACATACTCTGGACTTGGTACAAACGCTAGTAAAATGAGAGACAATTAAATTTAACGAGAAACATGAAGTTCTAGTAAAACTTAAGAGTAGTCTGTTCCTACACCTGTGGAGCAAATGAAGCACAACATTATCTTTTAGCAATCTAATCAAAGCTTTCCTCCAGAGAGAACACACTGGATTTCACATAAAATCACAGATTGCCAAGTTCTCATCTGCAAGGTAATTGGCCACACTGGTAAGTATATTATTGCCAACATAAAATATTGTAATAGATATTGAAAACCTTTTCTGGCAACAGTAGATTTAGCAAGCAACTTAAAATTTTGGCAGAGGAACATTAATGGCAACTGGTTTTTATCTCCTCTAACGTAAAAGAAAGATGCACACTGTAGAGAAGCAATTTGTTGTTGGTGCAAAGCTTAACTAAAAATCTTAAAATGCACATTATTTCCAATATCTGTTTCACCAACTTCAGAAGAAAAATAGAATGAGAGTTATTTTATGTATTACTTCTAGACATTGCTTTTGTATTATTGCATTAAAGCTGATTTTATTCACTTAGGCCAAGACACAAAATGTGACCACAAAAGCATTCAACAGGAAACATTTATGACCTAAATAATTCAAGCAGCTGAATAATTGCTTAGTTTCCTTTAAATAATTTAGAGGAGGCACTTAAGGGCACTGAATAATCCACCTATGAATTGAAAGCAAAATTATGATGCATAGTTTTGGATATTTAAATCTTAGATGAATTTCCTCTTTCACTTCAGCATAATGAATCTGAAAAAATTATTTTGAAAGAGATGGGCTATGAATAGAGTCTTAAAATATCAGCTTTTACCAGTTTCTCAGAGTTTCTTTGAATATGCGCTCTGAAAGAATTCAGCCCAACACGAGGGCCAGCTTCAGTAAACTGTATTGCAAATCTCAGATCACGTAAGTTGTTTTCCTTTTTAAAGTACCATATATGTGTCTTGTAAAGGTGGACCATTGTCCCTTAAATGTTTGGTATACTTCTCATAAAAGAGGATCCTAGAACGCTTAGAAGTTCTCTCAGTTTTAGGAAAATAGCATGCAGAATGTTCAGATAAAGGTTTTATAGAGTTCTGATAAAGCTTTTGATACAAAAGATTTGAAATACCTTAAAGAATATATGGATAATGAAGATATAGGATTCCTTTCTTTGAACAAGTAAGTAAACACATTTGCTTGTACATTCATGCTAATTGAGTTGCTTGGCTTTAAAACACAACACAGTTTTAGCAAAGCAAGTTAAAATAAATTTAAGCTATGGGGATTAAGAACACATTAAACAAATTTATATAATGAAGTCATTTGGTTTAGAAATTTTATTTTTATAGTACAATTTTATTAAATATGTCACTTTAAAATTAAGAGAGATAAAATTAAGTACTCATAAAGCTATTACATTTGTCAACTTATTAAGTTACAATAAAATAAACAGGTCATTTTCCATTTCATGACTTTTTCCACAGAGACACATTGCAACTTGCTAAATTTTGTTTTTATTCATGTTTAATTTTTGCTTTATTTTCTAGCTATTCTACCAGCAATATTTTATTTTGAAATCAGTTTTAATGAGGTACAATTTGCAGAAAACAAGTCCCCGTGTTTTAAGAGGATAGTTTGACTGACAACAGTGTGATCCTGTTTTAAAACAGACCATTTTGATAAAACAGGCCCAGAAAGTTCTTGTGGTTCTTTGCTGTTTTTCTCTTTGAACTTTCCAGCCTCCAATCCAGACAACTAAAATTTCTTTTATTATAGATTAGTTTTGTTTTTTCTATGATTTCTTATACACAGAATCACCTAATAATTTTTGTACCTCTGCCTTATTTCATTAAAGTCTGTGACAATCAGTTGTACTGCATGTATGAGCACTTGTTGCAATTATTTGCAAAAAACATGTTGTGCAAATACTCTACAATTTTGCCATTCACTTTTTGATGAACATTTTGGTTTTTCACCTTTGGCTCCTATTTTATTTAAAGATAATTTCAATTCTGAAAAATTTCAAACTTAGATAAAATTTGCAGGAATGTTCTTGGACATTAAGGATTAGCTGATCATATGATCCATCTACCTATAAACTTTGGTGCATAATTCCTGTGAATAAAGACATTCCTCTCTAAAACCACAATACAACCATCAGAGTTAATATGATATCATCCAACATACGCATCCCATTTAACATTCATAAGTTGTTGCAAGGGTTCTAACCAGGACTGAAGCTTTTGAATGTCTTTCAGTCATAAATGGCTCATCAGGCTTTCCTTGTCTTTCATGATCTTAATATTTTTCCACATTGTAGATTGTTTCTCATTTCAGATTTACCTGATTTTTTCTCATATTTTTATCTGATATTTTGCCTAAAGCTACCTCTGTACATGTTTTAAATTTGGCGGAAAGGTTTTTTTCTTCTACACAGTGAACTGAAACTTAAATTAATGTGTCAACAGACTGTAATTATCTCTGTAACAAAAGCCATGACTCAGCCAATCACAGTAGCTGCACTTTGGTCAGCAGCAGGCAGCCAACTCTGTAAGCCAGGCTCAAAAGAAGGAAAGGTTAACTGTAGCCAATACCACTGTTTTTGTATTTTACACTCTTGTACTTCATTATTCTTTTCTTGTCTGTTAGTTTTATCCGGCCAAGTAGCAGTGTACACTGTGGTTCTGAGGATTGTGAGTCATTTTTTTCTTTTCAGTTAAGTGCTGTTGAATTTTGTATTTGTAAAGTTTTAAGTTTAACAGAGGCATTTTGGCAAGAATGCCAGAGAAGTAATGTGTTCTTTTCCTTGTATCCTATTAGGCAGTGCGCATTTTTAATTTGTCCCAGTACTGGTGATGTTAACTTCAGGCACTTGATTAAGGTGACATCTGCTATGCTTTTGCATTGTAAAATACTCATGTTCTCTTTTGTGATTAATACATGTTTTGTTGAGAGGTAGTTTGAGACGATCTATATTCCCATTGCTCATCAAATTTTAATCTCATTTTAGCATCCCTTGATATGTCTTAGGTAAATTAATATTACTATGCCAAATTGTGATTTTTAAATTCTATCATTCATTCTACATTTGTTAGCTGGCACTATGCCAAAACATCTCTTATCTAAGTCTTATGTATTTGTTTATTTATGTAATGATGAATTCATGGGTTGAGTTGTCCCAAACCTGACCAGGATTCCTTTAAGCTACATTTTTTAAAACACATTCAATATTATTTCAGCATGTTCTTATTGTTGATAAAGAATTTTCTAGGCCAATTTTTAAAATTTCCCTACTCCAGGTCTAAAATCACTTATTCAGCATAGAAGTCCTGGCTTATTTCCATGGATAAAGACTTTTAGAAGCCAACATGTTCACTGCTACTGGAATGTTGTTGCTCCATATTCCTTCTCAGTGAATAGGTTCAAGAAGCACAGTGTATGCTTAGGTATATGCATGTATAGATATGTAAATTTATAAATTATATGTAACATAATCCCTATTTATGTGTTGATATATGCATGTAAAATGAGAATTCGTTTGCTATTTTCAATTCTAGATCAGCAACAATCTATTCTTTGTTTTTCCCTCTCCCTATTTGTAATTCTCTTCTTTGGAACAACGTAGATTCCCTTATGATTCATTTAGTAAATTAATTCTACCAGTGTGTTCCAGTCTCCCAATGTCACTGTCACCATCTTGCTCCTTATAGGGTATTCTCACTGTGCTCTGCTCTGCTAGCAACTTCCATTATCACGGACCTGAGCTCTGAGACTGCACTGATTTTGCTGTGGTCTTGACAACTTCTGTCAGGCTAGTGCCCCAGCCCTGATAGACACCTATGGATAAATTCTTCAAACAAAAGAAAGAAAAGAAACAGGACGAGCAAGCAGCAGCAGTTATATTTCAGAACACATTATCTCAATCAGGATATTTTTTTGAAAAGCTAGTTTCCTAGACTACTATTTCTCTATTGCTAGCTAAAAGAAAAAATAATCTGTAGCTTTCCTTTTGTCTATAAGCATCATATTGCTTTTATATATTTATAAAATATTGATACTGATTGCTTAGAAATATTGGGTTACATAAATTGTAAAATCAGATGTTTAGAACTAGAAAGAGACATTGATTGGTATTCATCATCTAAGCAAATAATTTAAAGCTAAACTAAATAAGTGTGATGAAGTTGCCAAAAGTATACAATTGGTAGATGGTATGATTGAGATCTAGAATGTTCTCCCAAATTCTCATGTGTATGGAAAGTGGCTCAATCATAGGGCCATAATCTACTGATGAATTCATAGCTAACTTACAATTAAAAGGTAGAGTCTGATTAGAGGCAGGTCACAGGGAACATGACCTGGAAGGGTGTATTCTTATTCCCAGGTGCTTCCTCCATCACTGTTTCCTGGATGTGAAGATGTGAGCAGATTGCTTCTACTTGGACCTTCCACCACGCCAGTTCTTTTGGAGCCGGCTGACCATGGAATGAACCTACTAATACTGTGGGGCAAAATACAGGAAACCTCTCCTCCTGCAAGCTGTGGCTGTGTGGCATTGTGTCTGAGCAATGGGAAATAACTAACACAGTAGGCATTTGAATATTCAATTTTGTCTAATAAAGCAAAGAAAGGGTGTCTTTATCTCTTTAATTTTTTCCTCATGATTTGTACTTAATTTTTGTACAAGATACTATTTGTATCTTACAGTAAGATATTTAATGGCAAACAGATGTAAGTGACAGCATCATAGTCTGAGGGATAGTAGACTTAAGACTCAAATCTCAATATTTTGGATTCTAAATCTTTTATACTGTTCTACAAAGCTTTTTCATATTTTGTGTGCAGGTCTGTGCATCAGTTAATAGTAATGGCATTGGCTTAATTAAATGGCTATTTCTTGGCTCATATACTTGATAAGTTTGGTTTCACCTGTTCCATGAGTTTTTTTTCCCTGTGTCTCTCTAGGCTCTACTCTAATAATGCTGTTTTCATTCTCAGAGTGCATGATAGCTAATTGGTAGTAGAAGCTATACTTCAATTCAATCAACTTTAAAGCTGGGGAAAGAGATGGAGATCTTTTCCCTTGAAAGTCCTAGCAAGAGCCCTATTGTGTACCAGTGGCTCTGAATAGCAGGTCATGTGTTCCTGCCTTATCTGTAGAAGTTAAATCTGCCAAAATGTTACAGCCTGGCAGTCAAGTAAGTATAAAGTAGCCTTCTGTAGGAAATTATGATTTTTTTTAAAGAAGACTGAAAGGATATGATTTGACAAAAAAACCATATAATTGTTCTCAAGAAGAGTTCCTGATACTAATGTAGTTATCCCCTACCTACAACTAAAGGGTGAATATACATCACATAGTGTTGTCTTGACTGTGCCTAATACTTTATGGTTGCATTGTCGAGAGAACTGGGTGCCCTGGGTTTCGAACAGGACACGGACAAGAGGCTGTGCTGCACATGTCACCTCTTTACAGGTTGCCACCTCTTGTCAGCATCTAAGCTGCAGAGTGAGGTCATCATTTCTCTATCTCCATATACTCCCCTTAGCCTACTACTTCTCTTTGGTATTGCCTTTATTTAATTCCAGATTCTTACCACCTTTTCTGTCTCCTTTTAAGCAGGAAGTAGCATTTCAAAAGTGAAAAGGATCATCTTATTTTTTTCCCATTGAAAACTTGTTCATTGAAAATGACAGCTTCATTTATTAAACTTCACATTTATTCTGTTTTGGATACAAAACCCTCTGTGTTCAAAGTAAAGTTCTCCAAGAGCAAAGTAAGTCCTATGAACACTTAAATAGTCATAGAGTAGGTATTCAAAAGTACAAAAGATAGGAAATAAGTATAAAATTCTTTTCTTTAATGCATTCATTGCCAATCAAAAAAATTGGATCAAAGTTAGGAAAGACTGAATGGAACTTTTTGTTTATAAATTCACCTCATGTTAGATATTGGGGCTAATTTTTCAACATGTTATTATTGACTTAGTAACTTCTTACCTGGGATTAATTTAATCTTAAGACTTTCCCCTTTCAATTAAAATATTTTTTCTTAAATGATTATATCTCTGACAGTTAAAATTTATTAAATTTTACAAAGTAGAAACATCAGGCATTGATTTTTTGGGTGTGAAAAATGCAACAGATTTTTCAGAAATTTGGAGGTATCTATGGGATAGTTTTTCACTTAATCACAGTATGTGAATTGCTTTAAACTTTGCCAGTTTTTCTTTCGTATATTCTGCACATACAAATTAATGTTAGGATTTCCCAATGACCTACACACTAATTGTGTATCAACAAATTATTCTAATTAAGCAGACACACTAATTATGGATCAACAAATTCTAATTAAATAGAAAATACAACTACATATATTTATGCTACTTAATTGGTTTTCTCAAAATATCTTGACCTTAAAGCATTAGGAGAGATAGTATCTACAGCACCCATTAGCGTAGGATTGTAGTGTTTATCTAACTACCAAAATGCCAAAAATAAGTTTTTTAAAATTTGCTATTAATAAAAAAATCATTATGCATCAGGACATTTTAGGGATCCATAATCATATATTCTGCTAGTTAAGAAAACAAAAACTAGTTAAGAAAATAAAACCTTTAGTGTTACCTTCTGAAATTGAGGCTACAAGGTAATTGAAAGGGGATAAGGAGATGATCAGCTCAAGAAATAAAGTAAACTTTTGAAAGGTATTTAAAAATAGCTTTTTTATCTCTTAGAAAGCCAAACTACGGGGCCAAACTGTATCTCTATTTATTGTTTTCAGGTACATCAGTGTGTGTGTTCTTTTCTGAAAACAGACAAGCAAACTTTATATAGCCTCCAAAGTCAGTAAAAAGTCATAAGCTATGAACACTGACAGTTATCCTGAATTATGACTATATTAGTAAAAAAATTTGAGTTTGTGTTCAGTTATAAGCCATCGTTTAATAGCCTTAAAAGGCATGGAGCAAGCATTGATGCTCTGCAAACTATGTGAAGATAACTTTTCACTCAGTGCACTGTATGTGAGCTGCACTTGATGTTACGTGGGGCTTTGAGTGAGGTGTCTGTGTGTACCCTAGAATGTACTCTGAATCACGAATAAACAGGGGTACATTATTATAGTAAATTACTCTGCTTGAGAGAGCAGAGTAGGTCTGCTAGTTTATTTGGTATTCTCATCAGCACTTAACATATTGCCTGCTACACAGAAGTTGCTTAATAAATAGTATTTGTTGAGCTGGATCAGTAACTAGACTATATTGAAATTCCTACTGCATTTATTATGATAGCTTGCTTATTTTTAATCATTTGCTTAATTATTTAACTCATTCAGTATTGGTCTTTGTCTTTTCAATACTGAAGCCTCAGAATTAAACTTTGGGCTTTGTTCCTACCAAGAGCTCAATAAAATTTTGCTGCACAAATGAATGAATGGTGAATTAATTACGATGTTTTTGCTAACCACTTGATGAGAAATATCCTTTATGTCAGAGATGAAGTAATTGTAACCAGAAATCTATGAGGAATTTTCTCAAAGCCAGAATGCAAATCATAAGAGACTATAATTTACATTCTTGGCTATTAGGATGACTTATGAACCACATGTACAGACCTGTTGTGCTTGTTATGTTAAAAAATACTTAATCCTTCACCAGTGGCTATGGCTGAACAATAAACCATATGTTTCCATTGTTGATTATACCAAAATATTTTCAAATGGGACAAAACAGACCATTTCCCCCCTGTTAATAGTATCTTTCAATGAAACAGAGGCGATTTGAAAGAGATTTCAATGCTAAGATAATTTCTCACTATTTTAATCCACGTGGTTTATCTATACTTGGTGTAGTTATTCTTCAAATCTTATTGCCTTGTTTTCCAAGGATCTCTTTATCTTATAACATGTCCCTCACAGTGCCCTGAGTTTATACAAAGAGTTGTAGTTTATTTCCCTTCACACACAAATGATCTGTTTAGGTCTTGAACAGTGCAGAGCTGACACTGCAGAAGTTGTCCTTGTTGGCAAGCTGTTCCATTCTTGAAACCACTAATGTGTTCCTGACCTGTGAGGATTCCTAAGGTTTTGATGGTAGGGTTATACTGTACCAAAATCTGTGATGATACAGTCTTGGCACAAAGGTGGGAGTTCATAGATTTATGCAATCTTCTATCACATGATGTCAAGATTTTTCCCAGGGACAGGATTATATTTAGGGAGGCATAAGAGATAAGATTATGAAGTAAAAGTATTTGAAATTTATAAAATATTTTATAAATATGTTATCTATTTTCCAAGCAATTTAATTGAAGCCAAAATGTTCTCCGCATTCAGAAAATCTTTCCACAAAGGTAATTTAAAACTGTGAATGTGTGAAGTCTGAATAATGGGCATCACAGGCAACAGAGTAGGAAATTATAGAATCAGAAAGGAATTTCATAGCCAAGAAGATACAACTCATTATATTATAGACAGCTAAGTTAGAAAGAAATTAATAGGCAATCAGAGAGGGATTGGACTGTTGGAGAAATCAGTGCAAAAGATTTTTTTTAAATTTTATTTAAGGAGAAAAGAAAAAAAAAGCAGGGAAAGGGTACAAGTTATACAGATTTACAGAAAAAAATGAACAATAGGAAATCACTAGTTAATGGATTACATATTGTCATCTTAGAAATAATTGTTCAAGTCACAAAATTAAAGCTTGTAAAGTGGACATTCCATCAATGATACTGCAAACAGTTCTGTTCATTGATCCAATAAAACTCTGTGATATCATTTTCTATCTTATACACTTAAATATACATGCAGTTATATAGTTTGGAGCACTTTCTTTTCCTCTCTTTTGCACCATGACTATTACACATTTTGGGTTTCATTGCTCCCACGGTTCTTATTACTTTTTTGGAAGAGAGTAAAACCAAATGTGACATAACAGAACAGAATCGGTCAAGTCAAAAGGGTGGACATAATAGATAATGTAAAAACATAATACAAGGTGATCAACAATGGTTACCATAATGCCTCCCGTTATCTCTAATAGAATTGCCTATATCGTTAGTTATAATACAATTGAACAAAACAGTAAAGAATAAACCCGACAAAACCAAAACATTGGAGACATTGTAGGTCTTCAAAAGTAGATAAAAGTCAACAGGAATGGGCGTCATAATGAATCTCATTATCTTCACAGCTGATGCCTAAACTTTCGAACCTGATACTATCCAGCAAAACAGAATAGGGGAACATCAGTTAAAAACCAGATGGTGAGAGTAATACAGGGCTTTAAATCAAGGTAATGAAAAGTCAAAGTGGGTTACTATAATATATCCTGCTATTTTTTTCCTTTAATTAAAAGGATAAAGATAAAAAAGTAAATAATGGAGTGGAGATTGAGATAAAAGAGGGCATAACAACGAAACAGCGCAGATCAAAACATAACCCTTTAAGCAGAATAGTGTTTCACCACCAGATAATCCTAACCTAAAAGTAGCTACCATATTGTTTCTTTGAAATCCTTGAGTACAACTTCGTATACTGTAGCATTAAGTATATCAAAACAATATAAAACCATTCAAGAGAATGACAGCATTACAGAGTATTTAGAATCGACTAACAGAAAATGAACAATGGTTTCTG